CTTACCCGTGGGCTGGGTTTGAGCTTATTAATACCCACTTGGACGGGGAACAACACTCTAAGATTTCAGCTTTCTAGCTTCTCAGATTCCCGATTTATGAACTTACCCGTAAAAAAATTTGGCAAGCATTTACATGGGTACCACGTAGGTAATGGCGCCTATTTTGAGGACTGGGGCCCGTACGTGCATGTAGATTAAGTTCCCAAAGTTTCAGCCCTGCAGCTTTTGTAGGTCTTGAAATGAAAAATTTGAACAGACACACACACACAGACACACAAATAAAGCCTCGTCAATATGCGTTTTTGCATTACATAGCTGCAAAAAACGCATAAAAATAAAAGTTCATTCAGTTTCCCATCTCAGGAAGGCCACAGATGTTCTGAAAGCTATCGAGATTTCGCTAGAAACTATTTTTCAGATTTTGAGTGTTCCATGGCTTCCGCAGAACTTTTCGATTTTATTTTTTTCATTTTCCAGGAGCGACGGATCGGCCTCCGAACTTGCTTATTTCTGCTGGATGCTAGTTCGAACAATCGCCTTTATACCGGGCCATTTTCGTTAGATAGTTTCGATCAGTCCTCACAATCTACAGACCGAATCAGTGTACGTCATGGTATTTGCATAATAACACTGCTTCTTGTCATATATGTATTATGCGTCTTTGCTTATATTCAAATGCCAAAACGCATATTGTGACGACCCTGGTGTGTGTGTGTGTCTACCCGGATATTTCAACTCAACAAGCTCCTGCGCAAAATCTTGCCAGTGGCTTCCCTGGTCAGATCCAAATCCGCAGTACCAACCCTCACGTAAGTCTGGGCCCTGTTTACGATAGTGCGAAAGTTTTGACTGGAAGATCGATAGCTCAGAAACCAGAAAAACTGGAAAGCTGAAATCTTGAGGTTGTGTTCCCCGTCCGCACATCTCAAAGATTTCAAATTCTCCCCAGGCATGCGTGGTTCCCGCGTATAGCCGCTAGCGCTAAAATCGTTAACTTAGGAACCAGGAAAGTTGGGAGGATGAAATTTTCAGGAGAATGTTCCTAGCACAAGCACAAGTGGCAGTTATCAAATTGAGCCGCTGTGTATACGTGGTTGTCACGTACGGGATCGTAAAGTTTCTTGGCGCGAAGATGGCTAACTGCAAAACCAGGAATGCTGAAGTTTTCAGGGAATGTTACCAGCCCATGTACGACTTCAATTTATTAGACTCAGCCCCGGGCGTGCATGGCTCCGTGAAAGTTTTTGGCAGGAAGATTGCTAACTCAAGAGCCAGAAAATTTGGAAAGGTGAAATTTCAGCGGAATGTTACCTGTCCAAATACTGCGTAGACTATTAGCTTCCTGGACTATGACGATCAGCGTATCACACATTTCTGTCTACTGGGTGTCCAAGCGATCTCACTGCAACACAAAATATTACAAAAATGCATGATCGCACGGTCCACGCGGTGCGCATCGCCAATGATTTATATCATCGCCGGCATGAGTTGGTAGTACACAAAGTAATACCGCTGTTGTGAAGCATGCACAGGGTCCGACTCTAGCGGTGAGAGACAACAATTTTCCCAAATTCATTTAGATGGTAAACTTGTGTTGATAAGATATCGGGGAATCAGACTGGCCGACAACTTGCTTGTCAGAAACCGATGAAAGAGGAAACCTTCGACAGCCCTGCCAGCAAGTGGTCACTATTGGTTACTCCCAGATGTTTACGCTTCTCACTCATGAAGAAGATGGAGGAGGATTTGAACATTAACAAAATAAACGCAAATTAACATACCCGGCAAGCGTGAAAGCAAGCACACAGCCCTTCTCCTTGCATTACACTTGAGGGATTCGGTACACAATAGCTAGTGAAAGTAAGCGCCCCCTCGATCTATTTTCCAGACGTATGCTTACACTTTACAATTTCAGACATCACTTGCCGCTATCGTAATGAGTGGGCACGCGTCAAAGTGTGGAAATCGAACACTGTGTATGTATTATTTGTCACCACTGGAATTCTTTTTCTATTGTTGCTGCGGAACCGATTTTGAGGATTGCGCTTATACCGACGATCCAGAGATTCTCTCATACGCAAGCATCAATGCAGAAGTGTGGAGGAGTCGGAGCGAGATCCGGTCATTCTACAAGCCCGAAGGAAAGGAATTCGTAAATAGGAGCGATATTTTCGGACGCCCATGGCTCTACGAGAAATTTATTTATAGCTTGCCAGTCGGTGGGCATTAAGATTTTCATGAAAATTATTCGCCTGATTTTTTTTTAAACGGAAAGAGGAAAGGGGAGGGCTGAATGGGAAAATGGAGAGGAGGGGAGGGAGAGGGTAGAGTAGGGTAGGGGAGGGGGGAGGGGAGAGCGAAGAGGGGGCTGGAAGAGAAAACTCTTCAGAAATTTGGTCAAGGATGGAGGTAAAAGCTGCTGTAGTTGTTGCACCATGGAGATCAACGTGCTTGCGATTCTGCCATTCGTCGCTATTTGAATGGAATAACCCTTCGCTACTTAAAACACTGACGGTTAGTTCACTCTTAAGCTATGAAAAGTAAAAATAACTGGCCAACGCACGGGCTGACCATGCGAAGATACGTTTTTTGCATGGTTCTCCGCAGTTTTTGTTGCTACCGGCACCGGTTTTTTCTGCAAATGCTTCTAGCTAAACAAATTAAGAC